GAGCCTGGACTGTCAATCTCAGCATCCCCTCCGTGCCTACGGAGAACCTGTGCCAGGGAACCTAGCAGAGACTTGGCTCGGCTGTCTGAGTGGCGCTGAAACTGGTCTGGAAGCTGGGACGTTCTGCAATAGGGTCTCCGCAACCGGAGCAAACGGAGTACTCGCCCTTGACACACGGAACGGCTGGTCAGCAGAGCGCTGAGGCTGGGCACACACGGGTCTCTGGCTTCTTTCTCTAGGGCGGAGCGTGCTTGTGGGCCCCTGGGGTGCGTCACGTCGCCTTGGCAACCAGAGAACCTGCAGGGAGCGGGCCAGGACGCGGCTCCTCGTCCGGCCTCTGCGTCGGGTGGGCTGGGGCAGGGGCGGGCGGTGACTCATCCTTCTGCCGTCGCCTCAAGGCCAACAGCGGCCCAGCTAGGGCCGGCGCCCCGCGCAACCGGAGCTTCCTGGGCCCCCATGAATAACCAAGAGTTCTTGGGTTCATCGGAGCCACCCGATGGGCATGATACGACAGAAATATCCGCTAGCTTGAAAGCTTCCCAGGAACCCTTAGTACAAGGCAACCTGACCGCGCTTGACGAACAGGAGCCGGAGCCGGAGCCGGAGCCGGAGCCGGAGCCGGAGCCGGAGCCGGAGCCCAAGGTGTCAGAGGCAGCCGACAAGCAAGGCCAGCCAGAGGAGAGCAAGGAGATCCCCGAGCCCGCCGAGCCCTATGAGCCATACATATTCTGTGAACCCCACAAATACTGTGGGCCCTTTGAATCCTCTAAGCTCCACGTTCACGATACTCTCTACGAACCCTACGACAACGAAGAACCCTATGAACCCTACGAGTCTTACCACTACGAGCCCTACGAGCCCCAGGAGCCCCAGGCAGGCCAGGAGCCCCAAAAGCTCCGTGTGCGCCCTAAGTCCCACGGCTCCCGCAAGGCCCACAAATCTGGGCTGCCTCACGGCGCCGCCGTGACGATCGCTCCGACTCCGGGGACCAGGAACCTGCCGCAGACTTCCCTGACTTACCCGAGCGGTAGGTGCGCGGGCCCCTCCAAGGCACTGAGCAACCCGGCCCTATCTAAAACGGGGGGTCCTCATGTGAAGTTTGAACGCTCCTTTTGTTTTAAAGGAAGATGACTTTTGTGCCATCCACCTACTTCTGTTCCTGGGGGGAAATTGAGACTAGTCCCCAGAGAAACGGAATGAGTCTCTCCTCCCTCCACCTGATGACCCCCTAGCTGTCTTGGTTACCCATCATCCCTTCTTTTCGAAGCCCTTCGCAATTCTTCTCTACAGTTAGTTACTGCATTCCTCTGGGTTGCCTCTTTGAACATGATCTCTGTTATAGCACTTGAGAATTGACATTTCATCATTATGTTTCTCCCCAGCTAGATCGTTAGAGGAAATTTTTGTCAGTGTTTGGCACATGGTGACAATCAAGAAATGCTTAGCTATTATATTGTGAAAGCTGTAGTAACAAAATATTCATGGAGCAAGTAGTCAAAGAGTACATTTACCAAGTAAATGCTTACTACATGCTCAGTCCTCACCAAGTTCACAGGGTAGCAGGGCTGATGGGACTTGGGTGTGAACATCCTTTGCTCTGATCACACCAGCTCACCTCTGACCTCTCAATGATGACCCCACCCAAAGCAATTAAATCTCATACTCTCCTTGACTCCTCTTTATCAGCCTGGATTTTATGGTCTATTGTTCCAGTTGCTCACATAATCTACCACCCCACTGGCTCTTCGGCAAACCACCATACTTCTCCTGGCAAAACCCCAACCCTGGTTAACCCCAACCACCCACCTTCTGCCTACACCCGAGCAGGTGACTACTGCTGTACGAAATTCCATAACCATGTTGTGTGCTTCTATTTCCGTTTCATGACCGCTAATCTCAAGTGGTCACTTGGCACTACCTAGCAAACCCACTTTATTCACCTAGTTACTTCTCACTCCTCCGTCCTTCATACCTTTGACTCTCAAACAGCTGAAGATCTTGAAGGAGACACATATATCATTTTATACTCCATGGTCCATCAATGGAATTACTTATTCCTTTGCAAATATCCTTAACTCCCTTGCTATTTCTTGTCTGCACTTGAAAAAACAGATGATGACAACAAAAAAACAACTATTCTGGTCTTGAAATTCATGATCTCGAACTTAGAGGTAGGCTCTCAGTGCTGCTTGGCAATCATACTGCATGTCCCTAGTCAGCTCATTTTCCAACACAGAAGCTATCAAACTACCAGCACCTGTCTATGCACTTTAGCTTTTCTCCTGTTAATAATGGATGAACTGTCTCTGTTCCTATTCAAGGCCCATCTCCCAACCTGTAAGTTGGATCCCATCCCATCCAACTTTAAGCTGCTTTTCTCCTAAAATTAGCCTTCTCTCTCCTGCATCATTTTATTCCTCTCTCTACTGGATCATTCCCATCAGCACATGCACATGCCGTGATAACTCCTATATTAAGCAGAAAAACAAAACAAAACAAAAAAAACTTCCCTTAACCCCATGTACCCCTCCAGGTACCACTTCTTTAGAGAAAAATTTCTCAAAATAGTTGTCTATAAGTCATTATTTTCATAGCCTCTCTTCCCATTTTCTTGAGAACACCCTGAAGACCCTGAAGTCTTGTTGAAGTCACAATGACCTCTGCTTTGCCAAATTCAATGGTTCATCCTTCATCCTCATCTTACTCACTTGACACACATTACCTCTTTCTTGGAAGTCTTTCTTTATTTGACTTTGGGGTTAACCACTACTTTCATTGTCATCAGACCTCATCGATTGTTCCTGACTCAGTTTCCTTTGCTTCTATTCCCAGCCTTTAGGCGAAAGTGAGGGATCAGTTTTTTTTTCAGAGTCTTTAGAACTTTCCTTGTTCCCTGAGTTATGTCATTGGTTTCATGGCTTTTATTATATGCTGGTAAGTTCTCAAAATATCTCTAGCCTCAATTCTTCCTTAAACTCTAGAGTTTTATAACCAATTGCTTAACGTACCTAGTAAGCATGTAAAATTTAATGTGTCCATATCTGAAACTCTTACTTTTGCACCCAAGTTTGATCTTCCCCCATTGTTCACCATTTTAGCAAATGTCACCCCATTCATTCATCCAGGTGCTCAGGTTGAAAGCCTGCCTTCAAATGATTAGCAAGTCCTAATTTTGAAATGTATCATGACTATGGCCATGTCTTAACATCTTAAACCAATGTCATTTTAAAATAATTTCTTTTTATTGATTTCAGAGAGAGGAAGGGGGAGAGAGAATGAGAGAGAGAAACATCGATACCCGCACCTGGGTATATGCCTTTTGGTGTATGGGACGACGCTCCAACCAACTGAGCCACACCGACCAGGACAAACCTTTATCATCTTTGTAAGCCACTGTCTTTTGCTTGGTCCACTGCAATAGCTTCTACTCTTGCCCCATTCTCCCTCCGCCTTCCCATCCCAGTTTATTGCTCATATACTAGTAGTGGTCACAGGGATCCCTTAGAACAGCGGTTCTCAACCTGCGGTCGAACGACCCTTTCACAGGGGTCACCTAAGACCATCCTGCATATCAGATATTTACATTACAATTCATAACAGTAGCAACATTACAGTTATGAAGTAGCAATGAAAATAATTTTATGGTTGGGTCACAACATGAGGAACTGTATTTAAAGAGCCAGAAGGTTGAGAACCACTGCCTTAGAACATAAATTATATGCAACTTTCCTGCTTTATACTCTTCAGAGGGGTTTCTCATCTCACATAGTTTGTAATCTAAAATTCTTAGCAGGCCTACAAGGCCCCACATGACCTGGCCTCTGCCTGCCTCCCCAGTCTCGTATGCCATCACTCTCCCCACCATCACTGCTCTTCAGACACGTGGGCCTCCTTGCTTCCACCTCACAATCATTTCATTTGCTTTTCACTCTGCCAGGACACACTTTCCTCAAATATTTGTCACCTCCTTATAAAGCTGTATCAGATCACTCTGCTCATTTTCTTTCTGTGTGACTTTAAAAATATATATTTTTATTAATTTCAGAGAGAGGAAGGGAGTTGGGGAGATAGAAACATCAATGAGAATCATTGATTGGCTGCCTCCTGCATGCCCCCTACTGGGGATCAAGCCCACAACCCCGGGCTTCTGTCCTCACTGGGAATCGAACCATGACCTCCTGGTTCATAGGTTGACACTCAACCACTGAGCCACTCCGGCCCGCTCTGTTCATTTTCTTTAAAGCACTTATCTATTTGTTTCCACTTACAAATGTATTTGTTTAAGCTGTCAGAGGGCAGGACTTTTTTGTTTTTCCTTTTTTTATTAAGGTATTACATATGTGTCCTTATCTCCCCATTGACCCCCAACCCCCCCACGTATGCCCTCACCCCCCTGTTGCCTGTGTCTATTGGTTAGGCTCATACACATGCATACAAGTGAGGGCAGGACTTTTATTTTTCCTACTGTTCCATCCTCAGTGCCTAAAGTGGTGCCTGGAACAAGTAAGGACTTAGCAATTATTGTTGAATGAAAGTTCTCTTCATTCAGCTTCTGTGTTACCAAATCCAGTGGTTCCTTCTCTATTGTTAGGGTTGTTAAGATTAAATGCATTAATACCAGTAAAGCATTTAAAACAGACTGTAGTACATGGTAAGTGCTCAGCAGTGTTATTAGCAGTGTTGTTATTATCTTACTTGACCTCTTGGCAGCATTTAATACAATTGACTATAGACCTCTTTCTCTTGGCCTCTATGACATCACAATCTCCCAGTTTATCACTGACCTGACTGGTTGCTGCTTCTCATTTACTGAGCCCTCCCTGTTCTCCTGAACTCTTAAAGGGCTGGATCCTGACCCTTTTCATTTTTATTTTCACTTTCCCCCCCTTAGGTGGTCATATCTATAATTATGGCTTTAAATAGCATGTTTATGCTGCTGCCTCTTAAATATGTTCTTGCTGTACTCTCGCTTCTGAGCCCTACACTTATATATTCAACTGCCTATTAGACACCTCCGTTTGGATATATCATGGGCATCTCAAATGTAATGTATTTTGAGACAGAAATTTTGATTTTCCTCCTATTCTTGTTTCCTCCTCAGTCTTTTAGCTAGGTGCTTGTAGAAAATGGCATCCAGTTGCTTAAGCCAATAAGAAAAAAAAAATCTATTTGTCCCTGGTTTCTCTTTCTTCACCCTCAAATCCAAAGCATCCAATGCAAGTTCTGTTCATTTTCTCTCTAGAACATCTCCGAAATTCATACATTTCCATTGCTAATTCTTGCCTCCCGATTACAGTCATTTCTCTCCTGGATTTCTGCATTAGCTTCCTGAGCAGTCTCCCTGCTTCTACTCTTGTCATATGCAATCTCTTTGCTACTGCAGCCAGAGTGAACATTTAAAAAACTGAATCAGATCACATCTTTCACTCACTATACAGCCCTTCCTATGATTTCCCATTCCTCTGCAAAAATTGTGCGTTTATCCTAAGAGGCATAGTTCTGCTCACTCTGCCCCAATCATAACTGACTTCTTTTCTGTTCCTCTGAAAGACCAATCTGATTTTTGCCCCTGCTTCACAATCAGCACGTGTGGTTTCTCTCCCTAGATTCGTATTGCTTTCCCCAGGTCATCTCATGGTTACTTCCTCAGCCCATATTTTTAAAAGGTGGGCAAGCCTACCATTTAGCGGGCCTTCAGTGTCATACCGCCTAAAGTGGCCTCCCTAAAGTAGCTTGATGAGACTCGATCTAAAAATTTTTCAACCTGACTGGTGTGGCTCAGTGGTTAAGCATTGATCTATGAACCAGTAGGTCACAGTTCAATTCCCTGTCAGGGCACATGCCCCCAGTAGGGGACATGTAGGAGGCAGCTGATCAATGATTCTCTCATCATTGATGTTTTTGTCTCTCTCTCCCTCTCCTTTTCTCTGAAATCAATAAAAAACTATTATTTTTAAAAGAGTTTTCAGATCTGCTTTAGAAAACACCACTTTAAAGTTTTCTGTCCTCTCAATCTGTCCACCAGAT